TATTTCACTGTGTTTGTTTAGTATTAAATTTCTGTAAACAAATCTAAAATATATTTAGTTGGGTTAGAGTAAAATAAATTGTTCTTGTTATAATAAGGTTAGGTAAGTTTTCTAAGATTCTTTTGGTGCAAAATTAAAATTTTTTACATTAATATTAATGAAAAAAATATATCTTTAAACGTATAAGAGAAAATTTTAGAAAGGACTTAATTTTAAATGAGTTCTTGCTAATTGACCAGTTTTACATATTCGGCACGACATATATATATATATATATATATATATATATATATATATATATATATATATATATATATATATATATATATTATCAGACCAACCCAACATGAGGTTGGTCTGTATATTTCGATACCCCTTTGGGATCCTCTTCAGCAGATACATAAATGAAATGAAAACAATAATATATAGGGAAGGTTGCACCTCATCCCTTACACGTGAGTGGAGTGATGTGTTAAGCAGTGGGTGGGTGAGAAGACAGATCCTGAAATAAAGCTAAAAATTTGCGTAGGAAGTTCCTTTGTGCTATGTGATTTGTGTTCGGCGTTGGTATGTACTTCTTGAGGGAGAATTTTGAATTGACGTCTGGTTTCCATTGTCCCTGTGAGATGTCGAAATTGGGAGTGGTAGCTATGAGGGTAGATTCTATGAACTGCTGTGTGATTTATGTTTGAATGTGGCTGCTTCCCAATGAATGTTGTGATTGTTGAGACTGACATGTTGAAACATGGCTGAATTATCCTCAGCATAACGTTGCCCTCTGGTGTTCAGTGATACTTGTGGAAAGTGTTTGGCCTGTCTGCCCTATGTATACTTGGTTGATCCATACACGGTATCTGGTAAACTCCTGGAGTGTCTTGTTTACCTGAATATTTGTTTCTTAGAAAAGACACTCTCTAGTTTGTTGGCTTAGAACGTGATTATGTTGGTCACTTTGTTGAGACGATTGAATGTGCCTTGGTGGTAGGGTACCAAGAGTTAAGATTTGCTGGATGGGGTTAGGACCGTTACTTCAACTCGATGACCAGAACTGCGGTAAGATGGGGATGAAGAAGGAAGGGGAAGGATGGAAACACTGGAAAAGGATGGGAGGGTGGAGGAGAGAAGGGTAAGAGAGGTAAGTGGCCCAACCACTTTGGCGCAAGTTGTACAGTAGTACTGCAGGCCTGGATGGAGAGGAATGAAGGGCTTCAGTACTTGGTTCCCAAAGGCAAGGAGAGGTGAGGGCGGCGGTAGCAGTGAGGAAGGAAAGGCAGAGTAGGCTTCGCAGTGATTGGTCAGGTGGAAGCTTGTTACATGGGTGGAGGTGAGCCATTCAAAAGAGACTTGAACTACTTTCTTGTAAGGTATTCCACTTCATATGGGTGTATGGCGCTAGTTCCAGGATGATTGACGGCTTGTAGCATTAGTTTGATGATGGTGGTGAATCCAGGGTCGCAGGTGAACTTGACGGTTCCGTCCTGGAACTCGCTGGGCGAGTTCTTTGCCAAGCATTGCATTGTTGTAGTGGTCAGTGGTGAAGAACCGAGTACCTGGGGTATCGATGTATACCACTTGCTCCTCCTCAGGGGCTGAAGCAGCCTCAGGATTGTTGGCAGGAGTGGCAGCGGATGGGTTGCTTGCTAGGGCCGAGGCAGTGCAAGTTATAACCCCAGGTAGAAGTGTTTTAGGTTTCTTGGCTGGCAGTGGCTGAGGTGTAACAGGCGAGGTCGCTGATTGGCCCGTTGCAGTGGTAGTGGCTTGAGGCGGCAGTGGGCTCTCATTGGTGGATGTTGGAGTAGAGCCGGTGGCTTCTTCAAGTAACATATCTTGCATGTCGTCTGCTGCAACGAAGCTGACGATTTTGGGAATGATCTGCAGAATAGCATCCGATGGAGGACAATTTGGGAAGGTGAAGGATGGCATAGCGTTCAAGTTGAAGAGTTCGTTGATCCAGGCTGTGCAGCGTTTTGCATGTGCGCAAACATCGTGCAGTAATATATTTTCGTGGAGATTTCATCTGGCAGAGGAGAGGTGATGGGTGGTGGAGGTTGCTGAGTGGCTTGTAGGATCTTGGTGGTTGTAGACTGGAGCTTGGTTATCGCAGCATAAGTAGGGGAGTTTCCTGTTGTCTTCTTAAGGTCTTCCTTGAGCTTCTTCGAAAGGTTCTTCTTACGAACAGGACATTTGGCTGCCAGAATATAGTGGCCACTCTTACAGCTGATTTAGGTGGGAGCAGCAGTAGAGGTACAGAAACGGAAGTCGTGACCTTCACACCCACAGGTGGAACAGATCTTGTTCTTCACATGACAGTCGGCGGTTAAATGGTTGTAGGAAAAGCAAATCCAACAAGGTGTTATATGCCTAAAGCGTTCTGGTTCAATTTGTCGAGGGTTGATGAAGTAGTATGAGACAGCCAGGCCATCGAACAGCGCTTGGGGAGCCATGTTGACGTCAAGAAACGTGATCTCAAACATCGAAGATGCGTTACGGATCTTCATAACAGTGTCAATCTTAGCCCAGGCGTTTTGGTCTTCAATTGACAACTTAAGTTCCTCTGTGGACATGATGGTGATGAGCTTATCAAGGCGTTTCATAAGTACAGAACGTTTAGCTCTCATGTAGGGCGAGGTGGAGATGGTAAAGCCACGGTCGTCAAGAGTCGTCATTGCAGGAGGTGTGAGAACCTTGTCAGCTTCCTCATCATCAACGAAGGTGACGAGGAAAGCTTCCTTGAGAGAAGTAACACTTGAAAACTTAACTCAGACTGCTTTTGAGGGCAGACACAAGCTCAAGTTTCGTGGCATCGTCGATAACAGCGGTCTTGGGTTTAATCCTCACACAATGAGACATCGTGGAAGACGAGTCTCGTGGAGAAAGGTAGAGGTTTCCCTCCCCAACAGGGATCGTAGGGAAACTGGTTGTCAGCAGCAGGAGCGTCTGTAACTGTACAGGGCAAAGTCGACAGAGCGAATCATACATCGTGTATCGTGTAAATATCGTGTATCAGGACGGTTAGGCTTTTATGAAATGAATTTTTGTAAAAGTTGTTGTTTGCTTTATTTTCTCCCTGTTTTATAAACCAATCAGGGTTTCCTAATTTGGGAGAATTGTGTTCTAGGGATTTTTTTTTTCTTGGTCCAGCATAGAGGGGCTGCATATCCTGAGTGTAAGTAAGAACAGGCTTGAGATGGTGCTCTTCTTAATCTGGACTGAATGGTAGCAGTAGAAATGAACATAGTTAACAGTGTGAGGGGGCTTCCTATAAACTGAGATTTCAACCTGATCGTTATTTCTGGTGATGAGAACATCAAGGAATGGAAGTTGATTGCTTCCCGTTCAGCTTCAGCTAATTCGTCCTGAATAAGTCATACCGGTGAGTTAGACCTAAAAATCAAGGGTGTTTATGCCAAATAAGTTGAATGGAAATTTGTTTTTGCCATAAATATGCGAAAATCTATCTTTGCCTCTCGAAAAACATTGATTTTAAGAAATATTAAATATTTATAAACGAACCCATGAACCCGGGGTACATTATAGAACCCCAGACTATGGTTTTTAAACAAACAAACAGTACATTCATTTCTTTTTTTAATTAAGGGGTTACAGAGAATAATAGGGATCTATAGGTATTGTATCTACTGTGAAACGTATTTTCTCAAGACACAAGACCGGCTCTAGGCAACTAGAAGAAGTTTGGGGCTGGCTATTATATTTTCTGATTTCCTATTCCTTGACTGCTGAAAACTAAGAGGCCGTCCCCTGCCCCATGTGGGGCGAGGGAGAACGGGGAGGGTCGTAGGGCGGATGGCACACAGGCAGTTGCCTTAAATTCAGAGATGTCAACCCGCTCTGCGGTACTCTGTGAAAAGACTTCCTCTCAGTCCTTCACTTGCTGCCTTGCAACACTGCATACCTCCTGATGACGCACTGAGAAGTGTGAAAGTACTTGAGCTAAAGATTTCCACCACTCCCCCCGTGGCTTGTCTTGCATATATATATACATATATACATATACATTCATACATATATATATTAAAATTTGCCTATAAAAATATTGTTAGGTTCAGTACAGTTAAGTAAGATTTGTAAGTTAGGTTTAGTCTATAAATATTTTATTTTAGAGTTTCTTTGAAAAAAAAAAATATATTTATCAATCTGCAATTTTTTTTCAGGGGGGGGACTTTAATTTTTAATGGAGTTCGTCGTATTCGGCAAGTTGAGCAAGTTCAACCTATTATGCACGAAGTACATAAAAATATTTCACATCTGTGTTTGTTTGAGGTTCGGGTCTGAGAATATTTGCCGAAAAGTCCGAGTGGGCAGGTGTTCGTGTGTTTGATTGGGCGGGCAAGAGGATAGGGGGCAATTTTTCATGAGCTGTTGGATGGGGGACCTCGGTGGGTAGGTGGGTACCTGGGCATGCTGGTAATTGGGAATCTTGATTGTCTATGCTAGCAGGTGTGTGGGCGTTTTGGCAGATATGCAGAAGGTTGGGCAGTTAGACAGACTTATTCATAGGCATTTAAGAGGGCAGTTGGGTGTCTGGGTCTAGGTAGGCAAGCAATGAGCATCCACATCTGGGAAGGAGTCCGGGAAAGAAGGCGGACGTCTGGGGAAGCAGAAGGGCGTCTGGGAAACAGGCAGTTGGCTGTCTCGGTATTTGTGGGAGGGCTGGTTGTCTGTGCATCTGGTCTAGTGGGTGATCGGGCGGCTGGGTAGTCACTGCGTGGGCGAGGGGAGCTCAGGAAGATGTCTGTGCATATGCTGTGTAAATGTTTCAATTCTGGTTAAATTCCCACTGTCTGCATTTCAAAACAATAGTTATAAACGATATTCCCGATCGTAACATGAATTTCTGTTCAAGGTCGCGCAATAGCTCTATGCATAGTGTGAAATATTTAGCGACTTCGATCAGAGTCTTTGTTAGCTACCGTATTTCCAAGCTCTATGTGTGTGCGTGTGTGATAATGATTTTCAGCACTGTTTTCTTCATTCCACAGGTGCCAAAGGAGGACACACCTTCGTGCTGAGCAAGAGCCACTGTAAGTCAGTTACATTTGTTTTTTAATGTTTTTCTCGTGATAACTGCAATATCTCTGATGCATCCTGCAACCATATACTTGATGACTGCAACAGTATGCTTGGCTGCAACAGTATCCTTAATTGCAACATTATCTTTGATGTCTGCAATGTTAATATTCTTGACGACTGCATAAATGTACTTGACAACTGCATCATTATCTTGACGACTGGAACAGTATGCTTGGCTGCAACAATATCTTTAACTGCAACATTATCCTTAACGACTGTAACAGCAATATTCTTGACTGCAACAATATTCTTGACTGCAAGAATAACCTTGACTGCAACAATATTCTTGACTAAAACAATATCCTTGACGCCTACAACAATATCCTTGAGGACTGGGATAATATCCTTGATTGGAACAATATCCTAAGTAATCACCTGCGTTAAAGTCGTTTAGCTATTCTTTTTTCACGATTCACCTGTTTGTTTACAGCAAGTCACGGAGGATTTGGCACTGGCGGATTTGGTAAATATGGCCTGGGTGGATACGGCGGACATGGATTAGGTGGATTCGGTGGCTTTGGCAAAGGTGGATTAGGAGGCCTTGGCTTAGGTGGGTACAGTGAATTAAGACATTAGTGTCTTGTCGTATCTCCTTCGACGTTATATTGGTAATATGAAGAAAAACATGGAATGAAAGACGATCACACTGTAGCACATATTTCATAATTCCAGGTTACGGGAAGTAGGTGATCTGGCGTCCCTCGACCTCACCAGCTCTACCACCATCTTCCTCACTTCTATTGACTGTTGTTGGAATAAAAAACCAGAAAAGTCATTAAGTTTTTTATTGCCATTGATTTACAAATTAGTTTTCCGACAATATTAAATAATTATTGTAATTATTGTAGTTTTAAGATCATTTTTTCATAACGTAATACTAATAAGTTAAATTTTGGATACAATTTAGAAAATTTAAGTTACTGAATGAAATTAGTGTTAGCAATTTTGGTTACCTGTGAGTGCTCGAAATTTTCTTGAGTTTCACTGACTGTGGTGATAGTGATTAAGGATTTATTGCCTTCTGCGCTCAAGTGTTAGAAAAATCGAATACAATACGGATTTGCGTACCAGTTGTCAACAGTCAATATTCTGGTTCAGATTCTTATACCCGGTCATGATACTCGTAGTATCATGTTAGTGCGAACTTGAGATTAATGGACATGAGTAACGTTAATTATCTAGAACAATATACTATATAACCCAGTTTCCACCGAGAGACATCTTAAAAGAGAATACATGTATAGGTACAAGGCTGAACTGATCGTGGTCCAGGTAGAGCAGGTTGACTCTTTGGTTGTGGTTATTTTAAACATTTGGTGGCAGTAAACTTAGATTTCAACCTGAAATATAAACGAATTTAGGATTCTAGTGAAAGAATGAAGCGTATTAGTTGATAAACAAGGAAAGTATGAAAGCAATGTGGTTGTACTGCTTGTAGGTTTTTAGCATTGTTGGTGGATGTTGCTGCAAAGTGGAGGCTGGAGGCTGTGATTGCAACTTATATGAGATTAATATATAGTGTAAATATAACGCAAAGGATAAAGAGTAAAGAAGTTAAATTTCATGGTGATGTGAAAGGTGAAATTTTGGGAGAGACATTTGTTGAGAGAGTTTGGTCATGAAGGAAAAATGAAGATAAGTTGATCAGCAAGGCATTTACATCCAGGGTGGATGAAAGGTGGGAAAGCATGGAAGACAGTGTGAAGGAGATTTTGTAAGGTATGGAAGGGATGGAAGACAGTGTGAAGGAGATTTTGTAAGGTATGGGAAAGGGGGGGGAAGACAGTGATGAAGGAGATTTTGTAAGGTATGGAAGGGATGGAAGACAGTGTGAAAGAGATTTTGTAAGGTATGGAAGGGATGGAAGACAGTGTGAAGGAGATTTTGTAAGGTATGGAAGGGATGGAAGACAGTGTGAAAGAGATTTTGTAAGGTATGGAAGGGATGGAAGACAGTGTGAAGGAGATTTTGTAAGGTATGGAAGGGATGGAAGACAGTGTGAAAGAGATTTTGTAAGGTATGGAAGGGATGGAAGACAGTGTGAAGGAGATTTTCAAAGGTAAGGAATTGCTCATTAAGCAGGTATGTGTGAGTGTTTAGATCACAGTACAGGAGAATGGCTTTTGCGATTTACGTAACGCGCTACACGATGAGATTATGTAAAACCAGTTAGCTGAATTTGCAATCTTGAAGGCGTTACGAGTGCTGTCTGTATTTTGTAACTTTAGTAGGGGCACGACTGATGGCGATTATGTTTTTTTAATTCTTTGGGTCACCTTGTCCTAGTGGGTCACCCTTCCTCGATGTGTCACCCTTCCTCGATGTGTCACCTTACTATGACGAGTCACTCTGCCACGGTGAGTCATCCTGCCTTGGTAGATCACTCTGATTTTGAATTATCCTGCCTTGATGGACCTCTCTACCTTGAAGGTCGGAGGCCTCACCCCATTCTATTATTGGTCATTCTGCTCTGCAGGAAGATGGCTGATGCAATATGAAGCACAAAAGCATACATAAGGCTACAATGGCGGCAAGTTCAAGTTTTCCACGAAGAAATAATTACTGTATTATTATTCTCTAGAATCGACATAAGCTAGTTTCCAACTGATCACCCTCACCGCACTCGCTGGTCAGTAACACGCAACTAATTCACAAAAAATGTAACCAAACTGACTCAAGAAATCATAATGACACGATTGCAAACAAACCACGGTACGGGCGGGGATTGAACTCGCAGTGAGTGAGTCGTAAAACTCCAGACCGACACGTTAGGCACTGACCAGCTGGCTACAAAGGAGGTATTCAAAACTTTTCATTTGAATCAGTGTCTGGTTGTGGAATATATACTTTCCACTAGAGCACTAAGCAGTACACAAGGCTACTCTAGTTTAAGGGTTTAGCCCGGAAAAGTATCTCTATAATAAGAAAAATCTCGTTGCTTGCCTCGATGTTTACGTGTTCTTGATAGCACATAACCTTTATTTTATGTTTTAATCACGCTACCAATGCATGAAGTGCATGATGCGTTTTCTATCATGCTAGTGTCGGCCATACCCGTTGTGACGGCGCTGGTGTAGCATGGGGATGATGGTCTGCTGATTTTTGCGCACTCACACAAGGGCAAGCCTGGTGTCAGCCGAGATAATATCGTCAAATAAATGCCTCACTGAAGATGATTTAGAGAGGACCTCAGCGTAAATTAGGGCTCATCTAACTGTTCCGTTAATCGTAATTATCCGATAACATTTTTTCATCAAAAATGTTTAGTGCTTTGTAAAAGAGGTTTCTTCATATTTCTTCCTGTGTTATTCAATGATAAGGTTAAACAGGGATTCTGAGCACTAGATCCTCGGTAAGAATAACATTATCGACTGCATCTGCAGAGCAGATAGGGTTGGATGCTATTATTGTGGAGCAGATAGTTAAAGCCTACTAATGGGGAAGAAGAGCTGGATTCAGCTAATAGGAGCCGAGGGCGCGAGATCCTATTGCTCTTGAACTGAGGGATAAGAGCTAAGAAATATGGCTAACAATCAAAGAGTATGAGATACTTTTCAGCCCCTCAAAAAAAAAAAAAAACTTCTTTCGTGCAGCTTTCATTCATTTAATTTTGAAATTATATACCACAATTTAAAAACGGTTTTTAACATAAAAATTTTTTTTAGTTCGGAAAAAGTTATTTACATTCAAAGGGGGGAAAAATGAAATAATTTTTTCAATTGTGAAAAAAACCATCAATATTTTTTTATCAAGAAGAACTACTATAGGACAAAAAAACCAATGAAATTGTTAAAGATCTCTTTTTTGATCTCCCTCTCTCTTTAATATATATTTTTATATATATATTATAAATATTTATATATAATTTTATATAATTTTATATATATTTAAAAAATATATATATATAAAATATATATAATATATATAAAATTTAAAAATATACTATACTATATATATAAATTTAAAATAAATATTATATTTATATAAAAATTATATATATATTATATATACATAACAATACATATATAATATAAATATATAAATTTTATATATAAAATATATATAATAAAATATATTTAAAAATTTTAATATGTCGTGCCGAATAGGCGAACTTGCGATCTTGGGTTAAATACAACGTCATCTTTTCCATATAGGACAAGTAAAAATTGTGTTGCAATAATTTCGCCAAAATTTATTCTGAACCTAACGAAAAAAATATATTTTACTGTGTTTTTTTAGTATTAAATTATGAACAATCTAAAATATATTTTGTTGGGTTATAAATAAAAGTTTTGTTATAAAAAAGGTTTGGTAAGTTTTTTAAGTTCCTTTTGGTGCAAATTAAAATTTTTGCATCAACAATTAAAGAAAAAAAATATCTTTAAAATATGAGAGAAAAATTTTTTGAAAGGACTTAATTTTAAAAGAGTTTTTACAATTGACCATTTTACTATTCGGCAACATATTATTTATATATATATATAAATATAAAATATATATAAATTATAAAAATATATATAATATATATATATATAATATATATATAAATATATATATATATAATATAATTAAATTATATATATATATAATTTCACACTGGCCATTCCCCCAAGGCAGGGTGGCCCGAAAAAAAAAAAACTTTCCAAAACCCTTATTCACTCCCTCACTGTCTTGCCAGAAGAGTGCTTTACACTACAGTTTTTAAACTGCAACATTAACACCCCTCCTTCAGAGTGCAGGCTCTGTACTTCCCATCTCCACGACTCAAGTCCGGCCTGCCGGTTTCCCTGAACCCTTCATAATGTTACTTTGCTCACACCCAACAGCACGTCAAGTATTAAAAACCATTTGTCTCCATTCACTCCTATCAAACACGCTCACGCATGCCCGCTGGAAGTCCAAGCCCCTCGCACACAAAACCTCCTTTACCCCCTCCCTCCAACCTTTCCTA